TTAATATAGCGATTAATATCGCGTCTTTCGATCTTATAATTATTATAGAGAGAAGACTTATCTTAAATATATAAATCGTTATCTTAATAAAAGTAAGTTCTATATAATAAATTAGATATTAGAACTTATTAGTAGATATATATATAAAGCGATAATAATAGAAATAGTTAAGAGTTAGTAGTCGCGCCTATAAGACGACTATATACTTACTATTAAAGTTATTATTATTATTAAAAAAGAATATTATAAAATTATTAGTCTATGTATTAACGCGATTAATAATAATAAGATACTTATAATAAAGAGAAGTAGACTACTAATATAATAAGATATATTATATTTATATTAGTATTAATATTAACGTTATAACGCTAGAGTAAGTACTTATAAGAGAGATGTTAGAAGTTATAAAGAATAAAAATAAATAATTTAAAAGAGATTTTTATATTCTCTATTATAGCGCTATTACTAGCGAATAGTATCTATAATAATATAGATAATAGCGACGCGATAATATTTTACTATTATCTATAAGACCGCGTCGCCTAGCTATTATTATTATTTCTACTATTATTAATTAATAATTAAGAATATTATCGCGAACGCGTCGCTCTATTAATTACTTTCTTCGAATTTCTATAATAAAGATTATTATTACGTTACTTCGCTATAAACGTAATACGCTATAAAAATAACGTTATCTATAGAAAAACTCTTCTCTCTTCTTTTATCTATTAGATTTTTGAAGATTTTATTATAAATTTTTAAATCTAATATTATTCGCTATAGAGGCTATTAACTAGCGCTATAAAAACGTTAATACTAAGCGCGTTAACTTACTATAGATTATTATTAATTAATATTATAAAAGCGATATTATTCTCGAAGATAGTATTAATATTATTATATAATATATTAATAACGCGCTTATAGGCGCGTAAGAATTAATTCTATCGCGTTATTAAAATAATATTATAATCTTAATAGATTAACTCTTTTCTCTTATTTCTCTATTAGAGTTTAAAGGTTTTTTAATAAGTATTCTATTTTTACTTAGGCGTCTAAAAATTAAAGTCTAAAAGAAAGATAATTATTAGATCTAATACGTTATAGACCTTAACGCTACTTACGCTAAGACGTCGATATCGTATATATACTATATTAGAGTTCCTCTTTTAGAGTTTAATTTTAATAATATATCTTATATATCTAGAGGCTTAACGAATATAGATCTACTTTGTATATCTCGAAGTTTTAATATTTCTTAGAGATTAGTTCTACTATTAAATATACTATATTATTTAATTATTTTATTTATTTTTTAAAAAATTAATTTAAATTTAAAATATTAAAATAAAATTATTATTTTAAATTAAATATATAATTATTAATAAATTTAAATTATAATTATTTTTAATATTTATATTTAAATTTAAAAAAATAAAAATTTTTAAAAATAAATTAAAAAATTAAAAAATTTTAAAAAAATTTTTTAAAAAATTTTATTTATTATTTTAAATATTATTAATAAATTTAAATTTAATATTTTTTTTTTTTTTTATTTTTAAATTTTAAAATAAATTTAATATAAAAATAAAATAAAAAAAAAAAATTTTAAAAAAAAATTAAAAATTTTTAAAAATATTTTTATTAATTTAAAAAAATTTTAAAATATTTTATAAAATTTTAATTAAAAAAAAAAAAATATTAAATTAATTTAAAAAAAAAATAAATAAAAATAAAAAAATAAAAAATTAAAAAAAAAAAATTTTTAAATTAATTAAAAAATAAAAAAAAAATTAAAAAAATATTATAAAATTTTAAATTATAATATAAAATTAAAAAAAAATTTAAAATAAATAAAAAAAATTAAATTTAATATTTATAATAAAAAAATTATTATTAATAATAAATATTAAAAAATTAAAAATAAAATAAAAAAAAAAAAAAAAAAAAAAAAAAAAAAAAAATATAATAATTTTTATTATTATTAATAAAAAAAAAAAAAAAAAAAAAAATAAAAAATAATTTTAAAAAAATTTAAAAAATTATTTATTAATTTTTAAAAATTTAAAAAAAGTAAAATAATATTAATAAATTAAAAAAAAAAAAAATAAAAAAAAAAAAAAAAATAAATTAATTTTAAAAAAAGAAAATTTATTAAATTTAAAAAATAAAAAAAAATTTAAAAAAAAATAAAAAAAAAAAAAAAAATTTAATAAATAAGGATATTAAAAAAAAAAAAAAAATAAAAAAAAAAAAAAAAAAAGAAAATAAGAAAGTTTATTTTAATAAAAAAATAATTTTTAAAAATTAAAAAAAATTTTTTAAAAAAAAAAAAAAAAGAATAAAAAAATTAAAAATAGCTAAAAATAAGCTAGAGAATAACGCTCTCGAAGAAAGTATAGAATAAGTATAAAATCGCTAAGAACTTTAAAAATAATCTAATTAAGAGAACTATTAGAAAGGCGTTTAAAGAGTTTATAATAGAGATATATAAATCGCTATAAATAATATAAAAAAAGACTAAATAGATTAGAAAATAACTTATAATATAGATATATCTCTCTTCTCTATTTAATAAAAATAAATAAGAATATAATAAACTAGGCCCGAAGGTAGATCTTCTTATAAGAATATTTTTTTATTATTAATATAGACGAAGTTAGATAATATTAATATTAATATAATATATCTATAAATCTATCTAATAAATATAATTATTATAAATAAGATAAAAAAGACTATAACGTAAGTATCGTTAAAGAGAGTCTTAAGAGAAAATATAATCTCTAATCTAATTCTTAAGAAGATTCTAAAATCGTTATTTTCTTATCTATATAAAATATTTAATATATATATAACGAATAACTACTACTTAGAGCACTTTAGAATATTAATAATAATTATTCTTTCGAAGTTAAATAAGAATTATTTAATTTCTAAAGAATATTAATTAATAGCTTTACTTAACACTATAAAAAAGATAATAGAATTTATTCTTATTAAGAGAATAGCGTATCTTACGAAGATATATAGACTTCTATTAATTATATATATAAAAGATTATAGATTACGATTATATAAATATAATATTTATTATCTTCTAGAAAGAATATATTAAGTTTAAAACTCTAATAAAGTAACTATAATATTATTATTAGACGTTTCAGATATATATAATAAAGTCTCTTATTCTCGACTACTTTATAATCTCTAAAAGCGAAAAATTAATATAAGAGTAGTTAATTAAGTAGAATCGTTCTTATCTAATAGAATAATAATATTAAAAATAAGCGAATATTTTATATTAAAGACTTTTATAGTAATCGAAATTTCTTAAGAATTATCGCTATCGTTTATACTCTATCTCTTCTATAACTTAGATCTTATTAATAAATATAATAATTACGCCGACTTAGAAATAATAGTTATCGACTTTATAGACGATATAGACCTTCTAATAATAGAAGACTCTATCGAGGAAAATTATATCGCTTTCTATAAAATTTATAACGAAGTTTATATAAAGTAAACGATATAATATAGATCGAAATTCGATCTTAGCAAATATTAATTATTATATCTTAATAGAAAATAGAGATTTAGCTTAAATTATCTTCTATAATTTAATAAGAGATAATATATTAAGATAAGACGATTTATTCGCTATCTAGAAGTCGAAATCGACTTTAAACTTCTATAAAGTTATTATAATAAAAAGATTTAGTCTAAGACTATTAAAAATATTAATATACTAGCGAGAATTATCGAATTAATATAGAATAATAATTATAAAAATATAAGATAACTCTATTAAATAGTAATTATCTTATAAATAATATACTACTACTTAGTATAATATTAACTCGAAAATACTATCAACTATAATAAATCTTATCTCTTATTATTATAAAGAATTTAATCTTAGATAGAGAGAAAGATAATTAAAGTATTTAAGACTATATTTATTCTAGTACTCGATATAAAAGCGTATTTTTTACTAGTTAAATAATAGCTAAATAAGATTATCTCGAAAGTTATTTTATAAATCGCTATTAGTTTAATATATAGCGAGATTATTAAGCTATAATTCGAGCGATAGAAATTTAAAAGAAAATCTAAGAAGAATAGAAAACTAAGTTTATTAAAGCGATATATTAATAGATTTAAAGAATAATATAACGATATTAATAAGATTAAGAAACTACGCTTTTTCAGCGTCGCTCTTAATTAGAAATCTTTTAAAATAATAATTTATAAGATTAAGAAAGCCGTTAAAGAACTAGTTAAAAGATCGATTAATAAGAGATATATAATAATATATATAGATAATAGCGGAATTAATAAAAAAGTAAAAGTATTAACTATATTATTAGATATTAATTCTACTTTTAATATCTATTTAGACTTAAGCGACTAATATATAATATACTTAGCGAAGTTATACGATATTCTTTAAGCTCTAATTATAATAATTATATATTAAATAAAATTATAACTTAGTAGAGTTATAGTAAATACGAATAATTAAATATTAATTTAAACTATCGAAGACTTAGATAAATATTTAAAATAGATCTATATAATATAAATAGTATAGATTATTAATTCGCTAAGATATCTCGAGATAGTAATAGAATTATATTAGATTTCGATATATATTAATATCGATAATAATAAATAAGCGAATAGAGAGATAAAGAAGACTATTAATTAATAAGAGCGAGTAATTTATAATAAAAGAGTATAAAGATAAATATTAATAAAATAGTTTAATTATTAGTTATATAGATAAGAATAATATCGATAATTAAGATAGCTATTAAAGACTACGCGATAGAATAATAAATTATTAAATAAGCTAATAAGAAGCCTGAGTCATCCTTGATCATTTCTGGCCTTGCATACCATCTTTCCGGGACAAACTCGTTGGATCGATCGTAACACGATTCGACTGGAGAAGATCAACACCACAACTTCCAGTCGCAGGGAAATTTTCACTCACGCCGGCCTAAGGAGTATCTCGGCGCTGATACCACTACATTTCCTGGTATGAAGTGACCCGCAATCGTCAAGCCTTCGGGGGGTGTCTCCCGAAACCCACCCGAAGGTAGGGCAGGGTGCAACCGCAAAGCTTCATTGATCATGCCGTTGAGATGTGCCATTGATTTCAGGGCGTCCAAGCCTGGAACACTGTTGACGTTCTCCAGCTCTGCTCGTAATTTGACCATCTGGCTGGGGTCATCAGCGAGGTGGTAAAAGATGGATATCAGAGTCGACGCGACAGTATCACTTCCACGACATGTAAACATCAGCGGGGATCCCTTTGAGGGATCTTCCTCCGCAACAAATACCTTCCAGCGACAATGAGAGCAAAGCAGTCCCCCCGAGCCAGTGTTGATCTTTTTCCAAGCGACCCGCATCTTGGCTAGCTTTTAGAAGCCATGACATGACCTATTACTGTGATTAGTTATAGAGTAAGTGAGTCACCCACTACTCAACTTACGTCCCGTTTCGCAGGCTCGTTCTGCTGGTGATGTCAGACTCTATCGTACCGTATAATACAGCAGAACAAGACTATACCTTCATTCGATCTCGAAGCTTCTGCGCCGAGCAGCCAAGCAGATCCTTGAAGTTCTGTGCTACCCCTGGAATACTATAACCGATTCTGACCAGCCAAGGAACAGGCGATAGTGGTCCAAGAAGGTTCATACCATCCTGCAGGAGCCCAACTGTAAAGTGGTACTCGTCACTATCGAGCATGTTCAATGGTTCTCCGAAAGCTAGATCACTCATAACATCGAATGAGTAGAGGTAGAAGAGTTTGGAGACGTCGACGGCTTTCCCATCCAGTTTCGAGATGCGTAGGTACAATTGTGCTGCAAATCTCAATAACCGAGGCTCATACTCTTGCAAAGCTAGACAGATGCCTTTAGTTATAAAATCATAATGAGTGATGTTGAGATTTCTCACCTTGAGGACGGAAAGCTCGTTCCCATATCTTACGCCTTTGGCTATGGGACTCCTTGTCCCTCGTGGTGGCAACGGAGACTCGAGGTTGCATGATATCATACCACGGCGCCTTTGTGCACTTCGTACTGAGCCCATCGAGAGCCCGTACGGCCTCAGGCTTGAAGATTGATATCTCATTCGGACCTGCGTTGTACTAGTTTAGGTATGTACACAACGAGATAAGGCACTGGCAACAAGACTCGTTTTTCCGTACCTGTGCGAATGAAATCACCGTAGCGGTCGTGTAGATCTTCCATGAGTCTAAAATTGGTCGACTTCGAAGCCTTGACAACGTTCCACAGCTTCGATACCTTGGCCAAGCGAGGGCCGGGGAAATTGTGTAGACGATGGAAGAACACGCGATAGATGAACATGCTACCAAAAAGAGCGATGGCGTAGCAGAACAATACTGAAGTGGCCATCAAGATTGCGGTTTGTACATTCTTTCTCTCACAGTATGCCTCGATGAAGAAGACCAAGCATGTCAAGATTAGATAGAATCTGAATATCTTCGGCGCTTGGATGTGATGTTCGCCTTGTATGAAGTATACCAGATGAGAGGATATGCCAGCGAGTCCTGATAGGCACAGCTGCAGTGTCCAGAGCATGATCAAGGTCAGGGTGGAAAGTCACCAAGAGCGGAAAGAGAAGAACAACAGGCTTCATGAAAAAGTGGGCATCGGTATGTTACACGTCAGGTTCGACTTCTCCGCCTCACAAGCAGGCACCGACAAGGCACAGTGAATTGAAACTCATCCGACTACGAATGAGATTTCCGAGGTTCGCGATAGCGGTATCCACACCAGTATTACAAGCTTGCAGAAGACCAATGGGGCGGAATCCGGAGTACTGACTGGCAAGAACTTGGTGGGCACCACAGCAACTAGTCAGAGGAAGCTTGTCATGCAGCGACTGGTCTAGATGACTGAACCCAGAGCCAATGATCTGGTCATGGATTCTCGGCTCCGTGATCATGCGTCGTTTAATAGAAGCTGACGGGGATGTGTCAGTCTTTCATGTGCCGATTTCGTCATAACGGCTTTTCTCATACCCTTTTCCATGCATGATGTGCGCCCGATTGTACTGGGAAAGAAGCCAAAATAGGCAACAGGAACAATGCCCGTAAGGCACAGTCCCACGTCTTCTCCATGCATAGACATATTTACGTTGCGGTACAAAAGTCATGGTGCGTCAGCCCGGGGATGCCGATCAGAGCAATGCCGCTCGATTGCAACCTCGGCGGCAGAAAAGCCCATGGAGATCATCGTCAGTGAAGGCTTGGGTGCCCAAGCTGTTGAGTCAAGCCTTGGAGCCGAATTCTAGGACGTTCAAGGCAACAGCTGATAAGAATTTGCTAGGATCATGATGCTCTTACGGGTGAATGTTGCTGATGAAGATTCTAGGGAGACTTATACCCAGGCTCATCACTAGTTCGTCACGGATCAGGTCCAAGACAATTTCTGAACCAAGTTCAAATTCGACTCGTCCCGGAACCTTCACATCCCGTTACTACATATCCTCCACGTCTACATCCTCCTCCTCACATTCTGACACGTAGTTGTCTCATAACCTCGCCGTGCTCGCAATATCAACACTACTCGGACTTGTTGGATCTGCCCAAGCGTATATACCCAAAACCTGGACTTCCAAAACAAAGTTTTCAGTCTCCAGAAGAAATTGAGAAAGATTTCCTCGAACCTCCAAGACACAAAGGATTCATATCTCACCAGACATCAACTGGAAATGTCCTCAACCGAAGCCAAGAAGCGAAATATCAATCATGGCCACAACTCAGCAAGTCATGGTCGGAAGAAAACTACTGCTTGGGATACCATAGAGTATGATCTGTATTCGATATGGCTTTTCACCTACAGCGACCTCAAGACCATCGTTGGACCCAAGACAGCATTCGGAATATTCAACAGCCTCCACGCTTCAGCTTTTGACCTACCTTGCCTTCAATACTCGACAGCGTTGAAACGATTACCATTGGTCGTCTTCTGGACATGGATCAACCTCTTACCGTTCTCAATCGATAACCAACGACAACCAGAAGCGATCAGGGAAGATGGCGTCAACAAGCCTTGGCGTCCTATGCCTTCGCAGAGGTTGACTCCACGTCAGGCGAAAATCTGGATGCTGGGACTCTACCCTGTTGCTGTTATGTCGAGTGCCTATCTCGGTGGTCTAAGGCAGTGTCTCTGCTTGATATGCCTAGGATTCTGGTACAATGATCTTGGAGGAGCCGATCAAAACCCCTTGATTCGAAATCTCATCAACAGCTGTGGATTCCTCTGCTATACATCAGGGGCAATGGAGGTGGCGTACGGAAGTTGGATACCCCTATCTCCAGGCTCTCTGCTATTTCGATGGTTCAGCGTCATTGCAGCAGTGGTACTCACAACTGTGCACACGCAGGACATGTACGACCAGGCCGGAGATAGCTTACGTGGCCGCTGGACGGTTCCTCTAGCGATGGGCGATGGGCCCAGCAGAATCACTATTGCGATACCAATGGCGTTCTGGTCTTGGTTCGGGCCTCAGTTCTGGGCTCTGCACATTGCAGCTTACATCTTACCCGTGGGTCTAGGCTTGACGATAATATTGAGAACGCTGATCTTAAGGAGTGTTGTGGACGACAAGCGTACATTCCAACTCTGGAATCTTTGGGTCGTTGTCCTCTATCTCCTACCACTTCTGAGTGAGCAGAAGTAGCTTTCCGCCACAAAGGATGGAGTAGAATAGCAAAAGCGAGATACTCGAATGCAGTCAATGATTGAATACAACAAACACCTCGTGCTGAGATCGTATCAGTGCTTCCGAATCCCTGTGTTGCGTCCAAAGATTCAATGAAATGGTCCCAGCTGATCTTTTCCTTTCCCCTTGTTCTTAGATGTGGGATTCCGATATCTCGCACACCAATTTGGATACCATGATCGGTTTTCCATACTCTGCGGTTGTGTGCCTCCATTGCACGAGACTCAGAGCTGAGCACAAGATAAGAGAGTGCAAGAGCCAATAATGATCCACCCTCGATGCACGCTTTCAGATGGTCAGGTAGAGTGAACAAGAGAACGGAAGTACTTGCATGTTCCTCTGCATGTAGTCTTTGATGTCGGAAAAGGAAGCTAGTTATTGACTCGCATCATAGAATCATGTTCTCAGTCATTAGGGTGGTTGAATGACATGTAGGCAATCAGGCATCAAGTCTGAGGATTTAAACTAGGAACAGATCAGCGCAGATGGACTCGTTCGTGTATGCTTGGACCAAAGAATGAAATCAATAAGTTCTATGACTGTGCTTTAGACAAGTAAAAATAGGTTGGGTGGTTGATCATGGAATGCAGTTGATGCCGGCTCTGCTCTCGGTTAATACGTTGTGATTACCGGGTCACTCTGCACCTTAGCGTTTAATCTCGTATCCGGCCCGGAGGGTATCTTACAATGCCTCTATCTTTATTTAGGGCACGTTGCCTTGACCTTGTCATCTATCGAGTACATTCCAGCCTGTTATGATCGCGCGTAGCTGTCGGACGTACTCGTGCTAATAGAGAGGCTTTTTTCAAAGTAGGTCTATCGGTAAGTGCTTGAACAAGGGCATCCTTTTGGGACTATCGTAGGCTTAGGATCCTTCCCTCACGTGATCAAGAGGCATTGTGTGATTGTTTATGCTGAGAGGCTATCTTTCATTTGAGACGGCGCGTTGTTTTGATTGGCTGAACCCCTGAATACCTACCTGTACCTTGCTTTACTTATCTTACTCTACTTTACCTTACTCTACTTATTGAACCCTGCCAGACGATAGGATACGCGCGAGTGCCAAGGCGCGCTCATCCTAAAGGCGTCGTAGCCCGGAATTGTCCTTGGCACTGTTTCTAAAAAATGTTAAAAAAAATTAGATGCGGTCCTTGGCTGCTGCATGATCCTCACTTCTCAGATTCTCTTGCACATGTCTTCTTGCATATACGAAAGCCTGAAAGAAATTCTTGAGCCGTCGAGTGTGTCAAACATCCCAAAGTCGCGTATGATATATGAATCATATTCCGATATGCGCAAGGAGTCGGACCTTAATTTCCCAGTATCAATTTTTCATTATCTTTGAAGTCGCATATCTCTCTCTTCTCCATAGCCACTTCACCGACTCTCTCTTACATCCATCCATCAGCAATGGACTTCTTCAAGCGCACTCTAACTTCTTCCTTGCACCCGTCTGCTACAGATGAGGACTTGGAAACTCTACTCAAGGCCGAGGATGGGGGAACCTCTTTCTCCACCAAATATGGTCTCCCAACCACAGCAAGCAGATTCATTAAGAAAATCCTTCTGGCAATCCTTCCCAACCCAATACAACGTCGCCTCGCACCCCATTTCTATAAACCCTCACGAATTCATTCGACCTCATATCTCGATGGGCTCCGCGGTATGTGCATGTCGCATTTCATTTTTCTAACCTGTGCTACAATCCAAGATGTAAGACACGTGTTTGTCGTCAAATGCCGGAGTTACGTCTTTTCAAAACTCAGATCCTTGCGCCGCAAGAAAAAGACTGACTCGGACATCTTCACAGGTATCGCGTCTTTCATCGTCTTTGTTCACCACTTTACAAATTGGGTGAATCCATATCTGGCCTACTATGGCGTGGATAATGAAAAACGGCCTTCCTCTCTCGTGCAATTACCCTTTGTCCGAGTTATTTACTCCGGCAGGCCCATGGTCCATGTCTTCTTCGTTATATCCGGCTTTGTTTTATCTAGAAAGCCCCTTCGACTGGCCCGCGCTCACAAATTCGATGAGCTCCACAAGACTCTCTCATCCTCGGTCTTCCGACGCAGTATACGTCTCTACTTACCGGCAGCTTTCTCGACGTTCTTCGTCCTTTTGCTCATCCGCGCCGGCTGGGCTCGGCAACCGGTCGACGGCGGGTTTCTAGCTCAAGTGGGAGACTGGACCAGTGCAATGTTTGACATGACAAAGCCGTGGCAGTGGGATGTGATCCAAAATCTTCGATACGACATGCATACGTGGACGCTTCCAGTCGAGATGTCTATGTCGATGCTACTATTCGTTACAATAACCGGTCTTTCAAGGTGCAAAGTGCCGATCAGACTTGGTATGATGATAATGGTCATGCTGTACTGCTTCCAAAGCGGACGCTGGGCGGCCGTCGAATTTCTAGGTGGTGCCTGGATTGCTGAAGTCGACTTGATACAAGAGGAACGTGCTAGTAATGCGGGAAATCTTCAATCGACTACCCCTGTAGAGCATCTCGACGGCGACCAGCTTAACCCAACCGAAATTCCCAAAGCCGCTACGTGGAGCGGCCTCTGTTGGACCCTTCTCTGGTGGCTCCAACTCGCAATCGCACTCTGGATATGCGGCTGGCCGAACCACGACGTAGAGAGAAAGCCCCGGGACTAGCCTGGCTAGTCAAGCACGCACCAGAACCCTATTTCTCCCTCGGCGAAGAACACTACACTGACTGGAGAGCTACACCGTGGTACATACTAGCGTCGCTCCAAATCGTCTTCGCATGCCAACAACTGCCCCCATTACAAAGATTCCTGACGACCGGTCCCATTCAATATCTGGCATCCATATCGTTCGCGCTCTATCTTATGCACGGTCCGCTGTTCGATAGTATCGGCGGGAAGATCATGACTCCGATTTTGCATTCCGTGACCAGCATGGACGAGGCCGGAGTGTGGGAGTTGTTCTTTGTGTGGATCGCAGGGCTTTTCGCGTTGGGCATTCCTTGTTTGTGGGCTGCCGATTTGTTCTGGAGGTTCATAGACCGGCCCTGTGTTGATTTTGCCAGGTGGGTGGAGAGCAAATGTACTGATTAAAGGGCATTGAGAAGAGGCATGGAGTGTACATACATACGTATCGGCACGGCTCAAAGCGAGTGGTCTCTGGGGTTTGCTGGGAGCTGCTGGTCGGCTGCTAATAATCAGGCAATTACTAGCCTTAATAAGTTGGCAAGGGTGAGGACGACAAGATGACAAAATTTCGCCCCTGAAGCTGTGAGACAAGATCCTAGTTTCCCCCAGGGCCCCCTCTTCGAGCGTTCCAACCTCTACATTCACACGCTACGGGGAATAAAGACCCATGTCCCATCATTTCTCTTCCCAGGCACGTTCCATTCAGCAAACCACCCTTCCGAACGACGAGATCCAATCCGTGAGTTCTTATGCCGGTCAGCAAGTCTTCCCAGTGTCAATCGAGTTCAAACCATTTACCCACACGACCTCCCTCCAGCCAACCTCTTCCTCTGAACATCCATCCGTATAACCCTCGCCATCTCTACCCTAAATAGACAACTACCAAACCGTTTAAGCACAGCCTCCTCCTCCTCCTCCTCCTCGTCATCTCCACCCTTTCCAGCCTTCCATCCATCAATCAGGTGGCATAGCAAGCCCCACTCATCCATCCTCAAACTCCCCACCTCTTCAATATCATTCACTCTCAGCAACCGATGCCCCAACCCTCTACTCTGGCTCTTGGCGCGTCCTGAGATCTCATCTCATCTCATCTTGCCGACGCCCGACGTCCTTTCTTTCTTTCTTTCTTTCTTTCTTTTCTTCTTCCCAGACAGGGCCATTCCACAGCAACAGGCGAAGGCTTTCCCCGAGTCCAGTCCCGCTCCGCGTACAAAGCTGGCCGGATCTGATAAAAAGGCAGCCAATACCGCGATCCGTGCAGCGAGATGGGGCGTGCAGAGGGCGGGATGGGATAAGCCAGCAGGGCAGGCGATATGCAGTGAGCATAGAGGGAGAACAGGACGCCAATGTGGAAAGAGAGCTGGCCGGAGCGGAGAAGACGCCAGACCCACACGCTGACCGGGTGCCGCCGTAAGAGAGAGAGAGAGAGAGTTGTGGAGCAAACGTCACGCGTAGAGGGCGAAGAGCGTGTACTCTCCGATGAAGGTTGTAGGGGTCGCTGCCATTGAGGCAGGCGCGGTGTCCGGAACAAAGGGTGACGGTTTTGACGACGTCTTCCTCAATGATTTGCCTTTTACCTGCAAGGAAGGTCAAATATCCTTTGACAGGAAGAGCGCATCGACTCTGATCTCTAACCCCCCACGATACACCAAGACGAAGAAAAGGCGAGCCTTCCCCTGTCACCAATCGAGATCCTCCAAGGGGCGCTGTACGAGTACGACGTCAAGACACGAGACGACAAACGAGCCGCGAACGAGACTTCGACGAGCGATGCGATCGATCAACGAAAGTGGATACTTCCAGCTCTTGACGCCGAGCGGCCATACTCCAAACACGAACGCCATTATAAAACGTAAAAGAGCCAACTCTACCGTAGCGAAGCCATACAGGACCCGGGAGCGAAAAGAGGGCCCGAAAAAGTAGGAGGATCGATGGAGCGGAAAAGCCGTGCGTAGAGGACGAAGGGAGGATGAGCAGGCGAATATGAGATGACAAAGTCGACCCGCGCTGCGATTGCGGAGCCTTGCGATCACGGGAGTTGTCCGACAGGAGGAAAAGGGGGAAGGGGGAAGTGATGATGCTAAGAGCTGAGGTCTTATCATTGGTTGTACACTTCGGTGGGTATCAGTTAAAATAAATTCACTAGTCGTTTCAAAAATCTCTGGACTCAGGATCATTCGATGCAGGAAACACCGCTTTCCTTTCCTTCACTTGGACAGAAAATGTTTGAGGTCCTCTTGTTCCCAACCGTCGCACCATTCCGACAGCGCACCTCTCTCCCGAGGCTCAAAAACTTTCGCATCACCTCTCTGCATATGCGCCTTCCACTATCTTGCATTCTCTTTCTCCCTAAGCAGCCACTCGTGGCGGGTACAAAACTTACAATCGCCGTTGACGGGACGCACCATCTATCAGCGAAGAGATCTTTCTTTCTTTCTTTCTTTCCTTGAACCATTCCACGCTCTTCGCGAAGCAGTTCTCTAGTCGAGACTTCCAGACTTTTCCACTCTGCTACTTGATTCCCGAATGCAAATCGTGTTGCGGAGTATGTGTGACCGCTCGCCACTTTTCCCGACCGGCACTCTGTCTATTACTTACCTTACTCAGTCTTTCACCTGCGCCTTCTTCATCTGACCACATCTGAAAGTGCTGGCGTTCGCTGTACCGAGGGGTACGAGTCCACTTTTTAGATCAAGAAATTGTAGATCAGCAGTCCAGGCTATGCACAAGAAGAGATAGAGATAGAGACAAATTCCGGGCTATGGTAATCGCATTAGCATGTACAGTACAAAGCATACACAGTAAACAGAAGCCTGTGGACAAGATGTCAAATGTGAAAGCTTCACGACTCTTTTGTGGACAACATATGTATACATGCCGCTCGATTGTGTGAGACATCCTCAGAACTTCAGTCCCACACATCCTGTCCCCTGGATCCAAATGACATCGATGCCTCTCACATCCGAGAACAGCCCTAAAATCAGTCCCAGCTCAGTGAGAGACTCACAACTCTCGGTAAAAGACCTTTCCGAGCTTGGGGACCTTATTCGCCTTTTGCTTTGCTAAACACTCCACCCGTTGAGTCACTGTTTTTCTTACTTAACACGAGCCCAGTCAATGTCACTGATTCTACGGAGACCGGCAGCACACTTATCATTCGATGTGCCTCTGAATTTCTTGGACCATATCCGAACATCCTGTAATCGACGCGAATCTTCTTCAGGACCTGGAACCATTGAAGCGAACCCATGAAGTCGCCCTTTTCGATTCTCTCGCCACTTGTGTCTGTTGAATCGGTCAGTTCCAAGTTAACGAGCCTGTGACTCGCAGACTGCAATAGGCTCTGTACGATCTTACTTGGCTCCACTTCGTCCCTTGGAGCAAAGTCATACAGGAATGTCTGCAAGGCTGCGAGCTTTTTTGTGGCTGTCAGGTACGGAAAGGAATACACAGTGGCTTGCAGCTCCTCCTGAAGGTCATTGGCGATTTCCTTCGCCATTTTAACATACCCAGCGATGTCAAGTTCCTCAAAAAGAGCTCGAAGGAGATATACTGGAGGGGGAAAACAAAGGCTACAGGACGTGTACCCGCTATAGGAGATACAAGAGTACAGCTGTTTCATCTCCTTGTGCTTCGGAAAAGTCGTAGCGGATACGGCATAGAAGCATTTGCAGCGGATAAAAAAGTTGTCAACGTCATCACGTAGGAGAGACTTCGTGGTCTGCTCCAGCGTCTCGTTTGGGAGCTCTACGAGCTGAGGCATGGTCACTGGTATGACAGTGTCCGAAAACGGGTAAAGCAAGAGTTCGTGTCTTGCTACACGATCGCTTGGGGAGACAGGTTGAGCTTGAGGTGGAGGCTTTATGTGATTCGCTGCCCGCAAATATCACATATCACACAGACGTTGCATCAGTGTCTAATCGCACGTATGATGAGGTTAATGTTGGATTAGATGAGTAACAGGCGAGAGGACATGTCAAGGCAGTGCCGCAGCAGTTGTATTCATTGTGGGGATGGTCATAAAGAGTTTGCCACCGTGTTGGTCAAATCGCAATTCCGTTTTGGCCCTCTCTGGCAACGCATATTGCAATCCATACGAGTAAGAGGATCGGGTCCAGGACCTTGTAGCGAACGAGTCAGAAAACAAACACCCTTGGCTGCTGCTTGAGAGACTCCAGTCAGCGCAATTAGCATTTTGCGTTGGCCGCGTCCGCAACAAGTGATCCAACGCCAAGTTTATTTTGAGTCAAAAACATGTGTGAGTCTAGCCAACGCCAAGTTTGATTTTGAGTCGCTCGGGCGGGGCTAGAGAAAGTCTTGGCGTCTGTGGGGAACGGCAGTCGCGTCCTGAATTCTTACATTACGCGCTTGCTCAAGAAATCGTATCAAAAACAGGATGATAGTACCAACGCTGGAAAGTGTACCTGCCGCCACATGAACCAGACTCGCCAACGACACCTCACCACCACAAACGCACCCATCATCCTCCCCCTCCTCCCCCCCCCCGCGCCCGCCATGCCCCCCGCCTCCCGCCTCACCACCCTCAACGACCTCCCCCTCCCCACCTTCCTTGCCCAACTCTGGCCCCGCGACGACCCCCGCGTCGAAACCCCCGCCCCCGCCGACGGCGGACCGTGGCGCCTCCGACTGCGCGCGGCCGAAGGGCTCTCGGAAGCGGAACTGGCGGGGTGTTTCCGGCTGGTGCGGGATTCCAGCGCCGCGGACTACGGGGCCTCGGCCTCCGGGTGGCGGCCGGGGAGGAAGCGCGAGGAGATGCGGTTGCGGGACCTGCGGTACATGTTGCTGGGCCGGTCGTCGGCGGGGGGGATGCGGAGGGGGAGGAGTGTTTGCCGGTGGGTGGGTTCTTGTCGTTTATGCTGACGTGGGAGGATGGGATCGAGGTCATCTATTGCTACGAGATCCATCTGGATGAGTGTGTGAGGGGGAGGGGTGTGGGAAAGCGGCTGATGGGACATTTGGAGGAAGTGGGCAGGAAGGCTGGGGTGGAGAAGGCGATGTTGACGGTGTTTAAGAGGAATAAGGCGGCGATGCAGTTCTATGAGCGGTTGGGCTACGAGGAGGATGAGTATTCGCCCAGGCCGAAGAAGTTGAGGAATGGCGTTGTCAAAGAGTTGGATTATTTGATCTTGTCGAAGTCACTGATCGGTGGGGTCAAGAATCACCAGGAGGAGGGACAGAGGAAACGAAAAGCTGGATGAAAACGCATTGGGATGCGGCTCAATTGATCATTGGATGTCTATATCTGTCTGACATCTTTGCCTTTCATCTCCGGCCTCTCGACTTCCCATTCGTCTCGAAGGACCGCGAACAGGGAATCCGCAACAATCTCCGACAGGCCGAGACTCCAGACGAGAGTAATGGCATAGAAAAAGTTTGCGTTGCCGGAACCCGCATAGATCCAGAGGTAGTAGAAGGCAGGGCCCAGCAAGCTCGCGTACAGGATCGTGGCCATGGCGAAAAAGGTATACCGCATCACTGCCGAGCATCAGTGTCAATACCCGAAGATGAGATGGCCATTTGGGCAGGGCTTACAGGGGAAAATGTGTCTATACAATGGCAGCATAGCAAAATACAAAGACGTATCCGAAATGCTCGGGTACGGCTTGAATATTGCAAAGATGCCCAGCAATGTAGTGATGACGAACAGCGGCTGCGTGCGAAGACGAATGCATAAAGCCCCAACGTAGCCCCCCAAATGCAGCCAGAATACACCCAGGAAGAATTCCCTGAACGAATCGAACATCTCAATGAAAAAATACCACCAGAGCCCCACATTTGGTGTCAAGTCCGGCAGAAGCAGGTGGACGCCATATGTAGATGCCAGATACTCGGATGAACCTCCAGTCAGAACTTTTGAGAGATGCAAGAACCACGCTATGCTTGCGGAAAAGACGGAGAGGTATGTGGCAGTCGAAAAAGTTGCATTTGGAGGCGCCTTTGTCTCTCTTGCTTTCCGATCATAGCAGAGTAGGATCAGAGGAGGAAGTAAAAGGGCTGGATAAAGCGACAGGTATGAGGCGAGACCCAGAGCAAGCATGGAGGTGATGGGTTTGCTGGAGACGGCCTGGGCAATGGCGTAAAGGATGGCGCAATTCGTGAAGACGCTTGTTGGTCTGCCTATACATGTAGCGATGGTGAAGGGATTGAATAAGTATCTATAGCCCCGTTAGTCTAGAGACAGCCTCCTATGGATCATACACCCTTACGCGGCGGCTACCGCTATGCTATCCCATTTCATATCCTTCCTCGGCGATGTGAACAGACGTGAAGAGCGTGACTCGCCAGACTCTGTGATACGTATGAGGGCATTGGCGCAGAGAAGGTCGAGGAGGATGTAGAGGAGGGCGGTCAAGGGCAAAAAGAGGGAGGAAGGGATGAGGGCGAAGAGTGGTAGCAGCAATGGGGCCTTGAGAGGAATGGTTAGCGGAAGGAAGTGACTCGTGCGCGGCCAGTGGAACATGCCTGGTGAAAGACGCCGCCGTCGTAAGGGGAGACATTGTGAGTATAGAGGAAGAGACCTTCTCGCACTGGCAAACCGTCAGTTATGAGTTGTATGCAGGTGAATTGGCACGAGGTCTTACATCGCTTGAAGCTGGTGACCGGAGTGGATATCTCTACACGTCCGGTAAGAAGGTCAGGTAAGGAAGGGAAGGCGAAGAAAAGTACGAGTCTAAGAGCTGCTGCGGAAGTGAAAAGGGTGGCTTTCCGCCGGTCTATAACCATGTTTAAAAGTTGGAAATGCACACCCCCATTTATCGATCGACTCGAGGTCCGCAACTGCAACTCCGCGCTGGTACTCTCGCGCGCGCCAATCTCGCGCGCCAAGTCCCACTTACTCTACCCCTGAAACTACTTACCTTATAGACTGCCGATTTCAGCCCTACCTTACTAGCAACAATACCAAAATTAACCATTCAGTATGATTAATCATGATAGCTACATCACCGTCTAACATCTTTGAGGCTCCTAGAGTAGCCCTGTCAGGCTTTTCATTGGTGCGTGCTTGTGTTGCGGCTGCTCAACGGAGTATCCATAGGATGGTAAACAAATATTCGGCGGGGTAGGTCGGTACAAGTAGGGCTGAAATCGGCAATCAATTCTTCCAGCACCACAGGGGCGAGTGTTCGCCAGGAGTTCTGCGCTCAACGGATCTAGTACTTACCCTTGGAAGCCAAACGGGCACTTTCCACCGACTTGCACCGCGCCGGCAGGACAAGAGGAGCCCTTCGACAGGTAGATCGGTAACGATGACAGGCAAGCGACATCCAACGAGCCGTCCGCATTGATATTGACCGCCGAACCTCCAGCCTTGCCCTCCAAAGTGCAGTCATAAGCGCCGTCAAACAGCACTGACATGTCCACATTCGACGTTTCAATGTATTCCAACAGACCATATGCAGTTGCCTCGTACCCGACTTCCTCTATTACAGGTAGCCTCCCCGAAAACAGCACCCAGTGGTCGGGCTCGTTGATTTCATACTGCATCTGGGTGACTTGACTCCAGTAGAAAGCTTTGTCGTTATGGTCTTTGCAGACATCGCCGAGAGATGTGCATGTGCGGCTGTGCTGGAAGACCTCTTTGAAGAAAGTCTTCGTCGTGGGTGTTGCAGAGAAGTGGGACTGCGACAGGGTTTCGCCGACCAAGTAGGTTGTGAAAGCGGATGTTATGCCGGCAGCTGGCTGCGGGAGATTAAAGGAGGTAGGACCAGAGTAAAGCCCATGGGCAGCCCAGGAAGTGAATGTTGGCACATCGCTCATGATAAGGCTGAGAGCTGACTGTAGCAAATATCCGGTACAAGCAGTCATGTTGGCCAAATCAGTCTCTGTGGTCATGTAATCGCTGATGTTATATGGCGAACCCAACAAGATGGAGCTGACTGCTTCTGTGTTCTGTAGGCTCTGTGTGAAAGCCTGTACCGCAGCGACATTGACATCCGGATTGATCCGTTGTGGTCCGCTTGCTAAGACTGACGGTATCTGCCGAACGGGTCAGTGAGCTACTTATTGAGGGCGAAGTGGGCAGCCAATTCACCCCCCAGAATGGTAATCCAGCCAACAATGCCTTCAGTACGTTGCCATTGTTGAGTACCGCACCAAACTCATATCCGGCAAGGATTTGATGGAGTTTTGCGTATTCTGAGTCGCTTCCATCAATGTCACCGCTTTGTAAGGCTGAAAAGAGTGATCAGAGCTGGCCGCGATTTCGGACGCAAGGAATCGCTGATCACGACTCACCAGCATAGTACGAGCTGAAAAGATTGTTGATGGCTACAATGTTACGCACGACATATCCGGCCTTTGATGCAATGCTCGGGCCGAGGTCGGAACTTATCCGGTTCAAAACACATTGCTGAAAGTTGAGCGTAGTACAATCTGAACCTGGTTTGGCATACGCAAAGCGTAGGAAGCATGTTGTCCACGGCTCTTGGGGATGGCAGCAGTTCATGCCGTCACTACCAGGCACCTGACAACTGGGCACTGTCCGGTTCCATTCCGCAAGATAGCCGGAAATGTTCAGCTCATCCCAGCATGTGCTACTTGCAACGCTGCTGAAACTGGTACAATTGACCGCTTGTCTGGTCTCAAGGTAGGCGAGGTGAGCGTTAATATATTCTGATGAAGCTGCTGCGGAAAGGAGGCATGCCGAAGCTGCAAAGACTAAGGAAAAAGAAAACAACATTTTGAAGGACAGGGATAGATCACTTCGTAAAAGTGGTTGTGCAGTCCGAGACCGTTCGCTTTTAGTCTTGTTGAAGTAGACTGCTTGTAGATTTTCCTCCGTCGTAATCTCATCAGAAGAATCGCCCACAACAGATTCGGGAATTTGCATTTCGCATATGCAGAAAGAAAACCTCGTCGTCCCTCGGCGCCTTCTGCGGTCTTTACTGCATGTCGCTAAATCCTGTAGGAAGTGGATGAAGATAAGTTTATGCGGTAGGAAGTGTACAGTGCGCTTAGATTTCTTGAGGCTCAGATGTCGCAGACTTCCCACACATGCGCTACCGTCAGATCACACTGGAGCTTAGATCCCGTCCATACAGCTTTAGCAAAAGCTCCAGGACATTTCTCAAGAGCAGAACTAAAAGTGCCTCTCTCTCCGTGAGTAAGATGGAGTCCTTTTCACTTATGAGACTGACCGCTAGCTCACCTTCGGAAGACCCAGATTCCTCTCCAGCACTGAAGTCCACAGCGAGCTCGCGATGATGAACGTGCAGTTCCACCTGACGTAAGAAACAAATCCACCCATGCTGAGAACCATTTTCCGCCACCTTCATTCTCCGCGCTTCCATGACGAGTCAGACGAGTCTTGCATTGTCTTATCAATTGAAGCATCGCCGACGATAGCTCTTCACAAGCTGCTTTGTCACCAGTCGAGAGACAGTGCTATTGTGAGTTACTCCCAGTCATACAGTTACGACCGAAATGGGTTTTCAAGCATGTGAGTAGCTTATACCTTGGTGAGAGTATGTGGTCCGAGCGGTAAGCCTGGAAGTAGCTACATACGGTATTATAATTTGTCTTCCTCTCAAGCTATCAGTCGGTTAGTTGCCACACATAATCGTTCACAGTGCATTCATAGTCTCTCATCGGTCGTGTTGATTTTCGATGTGAAGTGTCTCATACTCTCTCTATGGGACGTGATCCCCGAGACGGAATGAAAAGGCGCATGGATTGATTAGTACTACCGTTGTGTTTAGGTATAGTGTAACTGTCGGGAACTCAACACTCGCTTACGCTAGTACTCATTCGGCCTAGTCATTGATATATGAAGGCCTTCTCTGTACATAGAATTCTTCTTCCTTAGACATCTTTAAGAATACCATATCTAGTGATAAGTCTCATTATAGCAGTAACTGCATACCCAGGTATTTACCAACAGTAACGCAATGCATATTTAGCACAGCCGATACTGAATCGTGAGTTGAATGGTACGACTTTGGCCCCTAGTCTCCCTGCATAAGAAATAAAGATTGGCTGATAGGGAGCGAAGCACCCCAACTAGGTGGTCTTGTGGTGGAAAGGGTCCAAGGGACATGACACTCTAGGCTTATGCGGTGATATTGGTGGAAGCATCTCAGCAGCATCCAGCATGACGTAGTATAACATTCAATGAAGCAGCAGACAAGAAGCATAATTGGTTGTGCTCGGCGTCAAGCTGACGTTTGAAAGATGTTGAGCATCACTTTATGGTGCCTAGCTGAGAGCCAGGAACGTGACGCTTGCACTTACGGACTCATCATTATTAACTTCCGATTGCACTGGGTAGGACAAAAGTTCTATGCTGATTCACATACCTCATTATACGAAGTTGAAGGAAGGAGGAAGAGTAAGGCAATTTACTTGTAGCCCTCTTTTCTTCGCTTGCGGAACCGTTCCGCCACAAGGCATCCGTCGTCATTTCCAAGTCTCGCTTTTTTTGATACTCCATGTCACCAACACCCGCCTTGAATTTTGCCAGCCTCGCTGACATCTTTTACAAGCTCTGGCGATCTCTAATACCTACATGCACCGCCTGGTCGCCCTCGCCCGTAGCTACGCCACAGCTAGCACGCGCTCTTCAAGACTTCCTCCATCCAAGCCGCCCCTATCCCTCGATCACTTCCTCCTACGCCAGCGTGTCATATCCCTCTATCGTACGATTGTCCGTGGATGCTATAAGATCCCGCCTCCAACGAGGGAAGAGATGAAAAAATACGCGAGAGAAGAGTTTGAGCAGCATAAAGCCGTGGACGACTTGAGGAAGATACGGTATTTGCTTAGTACTGGGAAGACGGAGTTTGAGCGATTGGGAAAGCAAGTCAGCAATATGGGCTGATGATAGTATGACACCTTACCCAATGGGGATTGCTGCGATCGAGACCAAAGGGGCACCCAGGTGTGGTTCAATCAGAAGGAATCCCATCTCAAGCAAGCCGCTGGGGGGCTGAGCGGCTGGATCAGACCATCCCATTTCTCTGCAGCAGTGTTCCGGCCACAAGATGATTATGGAGGACTACACGTTCCACCCTCCATCTGAATGCGGGAAGAATCGTAGGCTTGATTGTATGCATCCTGCAAGCTCCTTTGCTGACTCTGTAGTCTGTGGACTGCGTCCAGTGTCCCTTGACGAATACCCTGATCATGCCGCAGTATCATATATTTTCGGCGATCCAACCTTGGATTACAGCATAACTCTTGCCCGTCGCCGGCCAATGATTACCGCTCATCTCCACTCGGGGCAGCAAAATCATCAAATCATACAGCCCGATGCCATCTGTATCGACTGGTCTAGCATTCTTGAAAGGCAACCAGGAGGTCTCTATCATGGGCACGATCTACAAGCAAGCCCGACACGTTGATGTCTACCTTGGTGAGGCTGACGGACATGACGCCCAGGCAGTCGACTCGATGAAGTTGCAGCAAATGGGCGCATTCATTGCCGAGACCCCAAGCAAGGATTTAAAGCCATCCCCTTGGACGGCGATGACCTAGTTCATTCGCTTGATCAAAATTCCATCGATCAGACCCTGCAAGCTCTTGAACTGTATATACTTTGAACCGTCACGGCTACCCTGATGGCCGGTCTCATGACTTGAGCATTGCCGGCTTATCTTCCCCTGCAGACGCTGCTTAGGACGTTATATAGTCCGTGATCCTGCGTCCGTGGTTCACACACACGTAGCTTGTCCAGGAAGCAGTCCTTTGCCAACCATTACTGTCGTACTTGGCGCTTCGTCTTTCAATTGGGGAGGGATACCTCAATCATTGAGATGTACACATCGTTTCGACCCCGACCTCCTCACAGCCACACTTACCACAAGGTCTGGCGATTCAACGTTCAGATCTTAGAGTCGTGAGGACGGCAACCTACAGGATTGGGCTTGAAGCCTTAAAGCCCGTAGGGTTCTACGATCAGGTTCCAGCAAACGCAGAAAATGCCTCGCTCTACGGCTTCAATCCCACCATTCGCGACCAAACTTTGGACGATGCTGCTGTTCAGATTGTCATGTGTTCGGACTTTGAGCCTTGCTACGTCCTTGTGTTTGATGGAACCTGAAGAAGTCGTTCACAAAAATTGGGTTTGCAATCAATCAGGCATGTTTCTGCCACTAAATGTAGAAGATGCTTTTCGAAGACGGATGCACTGATCAAGAGGGCTTTTTGAGAAGTCTAACCTGGTAGGATGTTTGCGGATCATAGCCAAAATTCGGATTTCGGATAGCATTTGAAAATCGGTTTGAACCAAGAGTATTCTCATTCATGTAGCTCCGATCTACAAGGGGATCTTGCCCAAATCTCGTACAACATGATTTCCAGAAACCCCCAGCTCGCGCTGTCTGTGTCTATTATCCAGAGCTCCATGTTGTGATATGACGCCACCAGAAGGAATTGGGAAGATGAGCGCATCTAGTCGAGAAAGGTGAACAGATCCGTATGCACCACGTTCAGAGCACGGAGAGCTTCTCGCTCCGCGATCACGCACGAGATGCTGATCTCACTCGCGCCTAGATCTGTATAAGCACGAATTCCACACCACGGGTCACAAGGGAGGAGAGCCCACCTTGAGAGATCATCTCAATGTTGATATTGTTATCTCCCAGTGCCGTAAATAGCCTTCCCGCAATCCCAATACTCCTCTTCAGCTGCAGGCCTACCAAGCTGATGATAGCCATATTCTTCACCACGTCCACACTCCCATACTTCACTCAACTCTTCAATCGCATGTTGCAAGTCCTTGTGCTGATTCAACAGGTCTTCTGCATCCTGTTCTCCGCCTCGGTCCTCGGGACCTTTGATAATTGGCATCTTAGAGTGCACCGCGAGACTGATATGGAACTGGTTCTTTTCGAAAAGATCGATGTTCAGTGACCAAGAAGCAAGGATCTTGCAGATCTGCGCGAGGAAATCTGCGTCTTCGACTTTGCGGTGGGAGTGGACGTTGACGACGGTGATTTGGTGCTTCACTGTTACGGCCGTTGGGCGCTTGGGATGGGATTGTAGGTTGGCTTGGGAGGATGGAGTGATAAGGGTGCCGGGGCTTTGAGGCGCGAGGACGTTCTTGATGCGGATTGGGATTGAAGGGAGACATTGCTCTACTGTGAAATGATGGATTACTTCAGAACCGTAGAAGCTGTGGAAAGGTTAGCATAGGTCGTTACGAAGATGGTATAGACGTGCGTTAGCTCATTGGCCTCTCTCGGGTCAATGGATGATAATAATTTGGCTGTTGGAACCTTGCTTGGATCGCTGTCCGTTGTCAGCTTAAGCAAGACGGAAGACTGGATGAGTATGGGCATGTTTACGCAGTGTAGACGCCTGAAACTTCTTTCCAGACCTATCCACCAATTAGCGGATTTGTATCTGGCACTTCGTTGCGTGTATTAGGAGTGTGAGGGAAAACCAACCTGTAGCTCCTTCGCTTTCGTTCCGACAGCAGCTAGCGCAGCGCACAGATCGGAGTACCCACGTCCTAATTGCTTGAGCAAACCTCCTGGTAAAGGACCGAAGTACCCGGTTAAAACCTACCAAACTATCAGTCTCTGTGCATAAGGCGGGGCGGCGGAGTAGGCTGGGTCCATGTCATACCGGTACCTTGTCACCACAGAGCTCAATCCTCCGACTTATCGCATGAGCGACCTCTCGGTAGAATTCTTGATTAAACGACGGCGCTAGATCTGGTTCAATCACATCAGACAAATCAAGATATTGAGCCCGTATCCCATGATCTTCCAGAAGCGCCGTTAGATATTGAGCACTGAGCTTCTCCCCTACACTTAGGATCTTGTCCTCGGCCTCGGGAGGCACATCTTCCCTCTTCGGCAGCGAGTCGAGCAGCTTTTCAAGTGCATTACATTCGGCAGATATGTCCCGCTTTAATCTTTCTTCGATCTCTGGGTTTTTGAATTTCGCTGTGTTGAGGTGCTCATGCAGAATACCTGAGACAATGGCGCGATGGCCAGTTGAATTTGGTTTGACTGCCTCTCGGGCAGCTTTCAAAAGGCTTTAAGTAGTCCCATGTTAGCATTTCGCACGGAAAAAAGAGCCATCGGTCAGATCCAAATTGCTTTCTTGGCAATGATTCGAGGTACGACCGACCTGGTAGGACCAGATAGCTAGGAAAGGGCTTCATACCGATTAGTAGTACCCTCGGCTTTGGACTTACCACTCCTAGCGGAGCAGACGATGGCGATATTGTGGTTTTGAGAGAGGCTTGATCTGACAAAGAAACGAGTTCAGCGAAGCTAGTTGACGAAGGAGGAAGGGCTGACAATGTACAAGGCGATCCTGGCAATTTCTTGCGAAAACTTCCCAACCGAAGTACCTCCAAACTTCAAAAGTACACGCTGAGATGCCCTTCTGTGTTGCTCTTGGTGCTCAACCTGGGCTGCCATTTCAGAAATACTTGTCTATGTTATGAAAAATTCAAAAAGTCACTCAATCGTATGAAAGGAATTTGCCAAGCCGTTTAGAACTGCCCTTTGTGCAAGCGAGATTCGCCAGCTGCTGCCGAGCCAAACGCGCTGACTGTGCCACCATCATTCGGACGCGTCCTACGATGTAAAGAGCAGAGTCTACACAACTATCAGATTACAGGTTATGCAATCAAAACGGGAACTATTCAGATGGTGACAAACCGATGCTGTATATTCTTTGGACTTGTGAGTATCGAGCTTGAGCAATATGACCAATCGTTCGAGCCAGATTGATTCCGTCTTCCTATCTTGCATAGATACCGAGATCATTCAAACCAAATTTGGACTGAGGGGGAAGAGAGGGGAACCCGAGGACGACACTAACGCTTTTGTTTTGGCTGGCGTGAGATTGGGCCGGGACTTTTTACACGAAGTGAAATATCATTTCCTAACGTTGATGTTGATTGCTATCTCATGTACCTTGTCCTTGCATTATCCGTGCAACTTTAGTCGGTAACGCGGCTAGCAACATGAAAAGATGTAATGTTATATAATTCGCTAATTCAGTTCATGACGGGCCGTAATTCTCCGCTGACGCGAGAGCATATATAAAACCTCCTTGCTGACGCTCTGCTGAACCCGGAGATTCGAAGCCTTGAACGACGCACGCCTCGAGTGTAAGTACTCCACTACATCTTCTTACTCGACGTCCCCCTCTTAAGCGCATTATACGATCTCACCTTCTCCCCGGCCGCGATCCTCCGCTGCTTGCGCCGCCAATAGCTCTCCTTGGACTGCTGTCTCGCCTTCTCCAAGTTACCCTGGTCGTACTTACGCCTATAGTAGCCCTCCATGCGTCTCTCATTGATGCGCATTCTCTCCGTGGTCTGAGGCTTGGCGCAGGGTCTGCCCTTTTTCACTTCCCCGTTCGGCAAGATCGCCTTATTTTGAGATGGTCGGCTGCGACGGGATCTCTTTGCAATTGCGAATGAAGACGGTTTGTATTCTTCGTCAGAGTCAGGCGCATCGGAGATGTCGGAGTCGTTGTCATTGCCGGTGTTGGGGACAAACAGGTCGTCATGAGGAGCGCTTTGTTGTGTGATGTATCCAGGGAGAGCCCAGCCTTCGCGGATTGCAGTGGCAACCAAGTCTTCAGGGACAGCAGAGAGGGACAAGTCCTCGGGGTTGAAAGCTCCATCGTCTTGGTAGTTTGAAATTGGCTCATACTGAAACATCCCTGCTGTAGCCGGTAGAGGACCCATATTGCCATGCAGGAACAATGGGTGATCAATCGACGAGAATTGTTGCCCTGGCGGAGTGATTGCTCCGAAGTTGTGTTGCGTCATCGTGTTGTCTGAGGGAAGTGGCTGCAGAGGGTAGTAAGGTGTGGGGTCAATTGGAGATTGAGAGAAGATCTCGGGGTCGGGGTAGTTGAATGGCTGTACTGGCTGCTCTAGAGGGCGCCATACCGAGCTGGGAAGAGTCTGTGACTGAGGAAGAAAGGAAACGTACCTCTGATCTGCAAGTGATGACTGTGGGGTAGTAGGTATGTCGAAGCCACCGTCAACGCTCTGAAGTGCCTGCTGGTTGAAGTCGAAATCATCGAAATCTAATGTTGCATCAGCCCGAGGTGCGTCAGCGAAGTCGCCTTCTGAAATGCCAAAAGGATACATGTCATTGAAGAATGGACCCTGTCCTGCTGAGTCATCTGGGTTTGTGAGGAGGCTGGGGTTCACGATGCTCTGATATTGAAAGTCGCCCATGTCGGAGACACCCATCTTGATGCCCTTCCTTAAGGGTAGTCTGTGTCCTGGTTGTTTGATAGTGATCTCTGTGAAGCGAAGGTCGTCGACCGACGTGTCTTGTTTGGTGACGGTATATATAGCGAAATTTCCTGTAGATGAGAAAGTGTATGTGGTTGAAATGCAGGAGAATATTGACCCTTTAAGAGAGTCGAGAAAACAGTGTTAAAGGTCGAGTCCCTTGGTAATGGGATAACGAGATCTCTTTGTTGTGATCTCTTTGTGCGAGTGCAAAGACAAAGGATAGAAAATCGAAGCAAGGCAAACTTGATCATGATTCTTTGTTGCTTGAGGCCGATAACAATGCTCTCATTGTAATCGAGGACAAAGGGCGCGGAGGCATCGAAGAAAGCAGAACGAGCGTACACGAGACTCAAAGGAAATGATGATTGGATGGTCTCTTGCACGAAGAAAGTTTCTTGCCTTGAACAACTGGTTATTGCCAAAAAAGGTTGAATTCGTCCTGTAATTGCCGCTCAGTAGCTATGAGGACGCGGTCAAGCTGCCAGTCAAAGTATTTCAGTGGTGATGACAGATATGACCAGGAGCGTAGCATCATGAACTCAGAAGCTATACCAGACCGTACGGATGTGCTGCTACCACATCAGTTTAATCCTCCTACAAAGGGTCAAGCATTTCTCAAGATCATCGAGATTGATTACCAAACTGGCAGGTCTCCCGACACCAAAATGATCTAATACAGATTCCCTCTTCGCAGTGGAGGAGTGATACTTGTACGCTCGTGAAGCAATAATTACTCGTGAGAAGCCGATAGGGCATGGCGATTCTGACGCGCTAGCGGCGCGTATAATTTTAAGCATAGCCCTACCCTAAGCGCCAGCCGCAGTGGATGTAAGTATCATCGCTTGGCAATGCCAAGACTCTTGAGGATGGTGTGAATACGTAGGCCTAGTCAGACTTCCACACTGAACGATTACTCCAAGATTCCAAGTCGACGGTGACAGTACTACCACCATCACTCCTTACACTGTCACCCTTCCAACCACAGTTACGACCACAATTATCCAGCGACTCCCGTCGCGCCAACACACTAGGTCACTTCAGTCCTTGAATCTCTATTACATGGTCCCTTGCCTAATCCTACGGATTCAAAGACATTCCAATCTAGGGTGGAGTGTCTGATGTCCCCGCAAAGCCATTGCTAAATAATTACAAAGCCATTGCAGCAAGATTGGAAGCTTGATTAAAGATATGCTGATTCCGTATATGACCGTGCCGGCGTGAATGTACTGCAAGGGTTTCAGCTACGAAGAGGAAAGCACTCTGACACTGGGCCACATACATATAGGAATGAGCCGAGGTTTTCGAGTTGAACGTCCCATTGCTTAGCTCCAGGAGCAATATCAGATACAAGCCAGCCAATGATGAAATAGCCAACAAGGAATCCCTGCGAAGTGTTAAAACAGACTTCGCAAAGCACAGAAGACACACGCATCCCAAGAGGATTACGTCTAATAATTATCAGCGTGAACAACCAGCTAAGAACAGAAGGGTCGTACATGCTGCAGCCGCCATCTGATGCATAAAACGAGCTTTCGTGTAGATATGCATAGCCACAGCGAACGCGGACAGAAGCAGAGAGACTATTTCAACACAGCTACGCCCCTGCGATGCGAAGTCGACGGGTCAGTGAAGTCAGGGATGACTCCCGGTGGAGGCTTCAAAGCAGGACCGTTGAGCAACGCTTGCAGTTGCTCTGGTGTAGCATTCGAGATTGCAGACATGGTGATTGCACGGCCTGATGATTTGATCAGGAGGAAGATCAAAACGCTGTTATCGCAGGTAGGTAATGGAAAGCACGAAGGAAGAGTGAGTGTGTATAGTCCTCGAAAGTCCGGATACTAGTATTGAGGACAGTTCAAGGTTCCACCCAGAGAGCCCGAAGACAAGGTGCCCAATAGTCCGGACTATTAATCTGGAGGCCTGGACGGGTTCGAACTGAGGCTATTTTGACAATCCGTGCTCCATCGAGGTGCCGGACTCTAGTCCAGAGCAAGGATTGCGTAATTTTTGCGGTGAGACCTTAGTATCAGTGGCTCGTATCTAGTGATCTAATACATGAGACCGTGGCGGACTGCAATATATCGCTTAAGTCCTGAACTAGGTGGAAAGGATCAGACTGAGATTATCAGACTCAGACGAGAACTTCGATTGGGATCCAAGTTTGAATGATGCTGAAGAAATTGGGCGCAGGATTATGTAGCTGACTATCTGTATACGTAAGTAATAAGACGGAGAAGAAGGTATTTAAGAGACTTTTTATCAATCAAAGGCGTGCTCAAAAAAAGCCCACAACACTTAGATATTGACAAACTACATACTTCTTACATCATGTCAATTACATGCCCTATAACAAAGAGTGGCAAGCATATTACTTCGCATACTGAAGAAGATTGAGCCATAGAGATCTGTTGAAGATGTGACGGGTGGATGAATATCTTCCTCCTGAGAGGTGTTTCAATGGCGAGGAGCCGAAATTTTGGCAGACTTATGCATACATAAGAGGGAGGATGAGGAAATCGCAGATACTGCCGCCATGCTAGCTGCTACTGGGTTTGTCACATTCGTAGTCCGTATTCACCGATTCATACGGAAACAGCAATCATAGATTGAGATAGCGGAATAATTGTTCGAGGTACCTTAATCTAGTACGGATTAAAGTTCTTCCGACTAAGCCAAGCTCTTTACGATTTGAGGCAATATAGGACCTCAGTAGTATCAGTCTTAAAGCTCAGTCTCTGATCACTAATTATGACCTTTAACTTCTCACGTCACGCGTGTGAGGGAAACCGTATCACGTCAGACTTAAATCTCAAAGCGACTATCGAGCAAGATAACACTGGCTGCTCAACTCCATGAAGCATTGAACCCTACTAACGCGTTCTCCTAATGTCCAATGTCGAATAGCAAAGCTGTCCAACCCTGTCGAGCGAGATGACCACTAATGGCCAAGGTCTATCATCAAAAGTTCATGAGGCCGTCGTGGAGGTTGCGTCCGTGCCCATCATCAGTGATCATGACACTCTCAAGTATCATCTCCTCGGACCATCCCTCACGAAGGCGGGACAGGACACAGTCGATCAGCAAAAGGTAATTGCGGATTAGGCTTGGGCTTAAATGTGGGACTTATGTGCTGACAGCCATGCAGGTTTCAGA